ATGGTTTGCTCCCATCCCGTCTTCAGAACTCCGAGAGGCGGCCCTAGAATCTCCTACATCCATCTCATCCTTGGAGTCACCAAGGGGCGCTCAATCACCGGGCAGAACTAGAGATGATCGATCTCGATCACCAGCCAGAGCTCCTCGATCACCAGCCAGAGCTCCTCGATCACCAGCCAGAGCTCCTCGATCACCAGCCAGAGCTCCTCGTTCTCCAGCCAGAGCTCCTCGATCACCAGCCAGAGCTCCTCGTTCTCCAGCCAGAGCTCCTCGATCACCAGCCAGAGCTCCTCGTGCGCCAGCAAGAGCTCCCCGATCACCAGCCAGAGCTCCTCGTTCTCCAGCCAGAGCTCCTCAATCACCAGCCAGAGCTGCTCCTCGAACACCATCAAGAGCTCGATCACCGGCAAGGATCTCTTGCAAAACAACACGAGCTCCGGCTTCCAAAAAACGAGCTCGATCGCCGACAACTCCATCCAGAATGACAAGAGGTTCCGGGCAGCCTTCTTCTACTCGTGGTCGAACCTCATCAACAACGTCAAAGCATAGATCTTCTATCTCCTCCTCCGACCGTTCACCATCACCCAGAAAAGCCCGATCTGAAAGCCGAGCATATACAAAAAAAAAAAAAAATCCATCACAATCGCCGCAACCGAAGTCCAAAAAAAGGCACGTTACATTTGCGAAGTCGCAGCCAAAGAGACACAAAAGACCGGCTGAAGACGAATTCACATCTAGCGAAAATTCATCGGAATCCGGATCTTCCACTTCACGGTCTGATAGCCTTGAGTCCGAGAGCCTTGAGTCCGAGTCCGACCAGTCCGAATTAAGAACCTCAAGAAGTAAGGGTAAGAAGAAGGCACAGGCACCTGCCAAACCGTCCAAGAAGGCGCAGGCACTCACCAAACGGTCCAGAGACAAGTACTGGGACGATGCCTTAGAAGACTACCCAAAACTCAAGTCTGCCGTCAAATCTGTCAAGCCGCTAAAATCAGCACTTACCAAAAGCAACCAAACTGATGTAAGCTGTTTTTAACTCGCGGAAAGTTGCCTGCCCCTCTCATATTTTTTCCGTATGGCTCATTTTTCTTTGCTTCAATTTTTTTTCTGCGTGTTCTTTTGTGTGTTTTTTTTCCAAGAAACTCTTCATCGATCTGGCTTCTGAAGATCGTCGTTATGGCACTCGGTCGGGCTATCGCCCATCACCTCGCCCGCCCTCGCCCGATTATGCTGAGCTGTTCTACGCCGAAGAGGGACGGCAAGATGCCAATGCTTATTCACGCCCATTGATCGCGCCCTTTCAGCAGCTGCCTCCGGATCACGAGCAATTGAATCAAGATCCTAACAGCCATCATCCACACAACCCGCTAGCCAAGCGCAGGAGATACATTCGGCTAGATGAGCGACATGCATCAGACTCACGTTTCACCCCTGCCTCGGTTCCCTTCTGTCCGACTCTTGAACAACCCCAGCAACCCCAGTGCCCTAGGTCACCGTACTCTAACCTAGCGATGTCTCCATACGCACCGTCTCACCTAGCAATGTCTCCATACTCAACGTCTCAGCCTCATTCCCAGGCCAACGCAACAGCAGCCTATGGCTATCAGTCTACTTATCGCCCGACTAGTACCTCCCCATTTATATCCCAGCCTAGTGTAGCCCCTTCGTATGGATATAACACGTCTCAGTCCAACGTAGCCCCTTCGTATGGATATAACACCTCTCAGTCCAATGTGGCGCCAGCTTTAGGATATCACTCCCATCATCAAACTTCGGTAGCCGCAGACGGCCGCAAGCCAACCCTGTCCCTGAGTGGCCCAAAGCCCTACGACTACTCACAATATTGGACTCAGTCGCAAAATAAGAATGAGCCAAATAAAAACCCTAGCGGCCAGGGATCGGTACCGTCATTTCATCCCACATTCAATTTCTCCAATAATCCGGAGCCCCTGCCTCCCCCTCGATCCAGCCAGACAAGACCACCACTCTGTCACTTTGGCACATCAGGTACCTTGGGAAACCAGACGGGAAACCAGCCACCCACCCTGCCCAGTTTTGGCCAGACCCTAGAACACCCACCACCACCGCAACCCCGTCGCTTCGGCACGTCAGGTACCCAGGGAAACCAGCCACGAAACGAGCCACCAACCCTGCCCAGCCAATTTGGTCAGTCTTTCACACAGGAAAACTCTCTGCCCATTCGAACGCAGGAAAATTCTCCGCCCATTCGATTCGGGGAAACAACATTTCCCATTCAAAATTCTGGAACAACATTCCGACCAACCACTGCTGAGCCCACAACCAACAACCCGTTCATGTCAGGGATCTCATCCAACTTCTGCAATTCAAACCCGGCACCACCACCACCACTCAAGTCTAACAATCTATGGGGGGTTAAGCCCATCCTCAAATCCAACCCAGCCCCAATCCAATCCTTATCATTTTCCACCTCCAGCCATGCGCGACCTGAGCAGCCCACCAACTCATTTGCTCTCTTCAACCCTAGCCGTCCCAACACAGCCGAACGTCCTGTGACCAACAGAGCCGCAAGTAAGTTCGAACGACTTCAAGCTTACAATTCCAGCATCCCTTCTCCACCAACTTCCCCTTTGTTGGCTGTGTCGTGTGACCCAGACGTTGATGATCTCTGTGACACCGTTTCTCGTCTTTTCCGTCCAATTGCTCCAATCCGTCGAAAAAAAGCACTCATCGAAGCCAAGAATGTCCACTTTGCTGATACAGCCTCAATCTTATCCGCCGCGCCTCGAATATTAGCCGATTTTTTAGGCAATGCAACCATTGATCCTCAGCTCACCTCCGGACCATCTGCAGGAACTCAGCCACCGCCACCTCCATCTAACCGCACTCAGCCACCGCCACCTCCATCTAACCGCAACACCGGAGCTCAGCCACCGCCACCGCCACCGCCACCTCCATCTAACCACAACGCCAGAACTCAGCCACTGCCAACTACCACCTCTTTTGGGGGGCCGCCTATACAATCCGTACCATCTGACTGCAACACAGGAACTCAGCCACCACCACCTCCATCTAACTGCACTCAGCCACCGCCACCTCCATCTAACCGCAATGCCGGAACTCAGCCACCACCAACTACCACATCTTTTGGGCGGCCACCTGTAGAATCTGTACCATCTGACTGTAACGCAGGAACTCAGCCACCAACCACATCATTTGGGCGGCCGCCTGTACAATCTCCCATTGAAGTACCCAGATCAGTTCCAGCGCAGCCTGCCAAATCATCTAATTTACGGCCAGCACCACCCCTCCTTGCACCACAGCCAGGACTGTCTGCCTCGACCTCAAGAATACCCAAATCAATATTCCACCTAACCTTGTGCAAGCCAACACTTGTGGATAAGCCAACACCATTGGCTGAGACACCCTTGCCTCCACATGAACCTACACCCACTAAACCAACCTCATCTACTCCTCCTCCACCCACTACTCCCCCTGCTTGCAGCCCACCATCCAATTGATGCTTTTCTTCATATTTCTTGTAATGTTTTTCTTCATATTTCTGAGTGTAAAGTGTAAATAGTGTAAATAGAGTGAAATAGAGAGTGTAAATATTTTTTTTCTACTGATAACTGAATTTTGAGAAAAGCTACATAGAGAAAAAAATAAAAAACATGAAATGGCTGAGGGGAAGAGCTGTGAGCAGTCATCCCTGACTGAAAGCCCTGAAGTACAACAAAAACAGCCCTGAAGTACAACAAAAAACAGGGTACAAAAAATCAGTGAAAAAAATGGACAAAATCCATTTAAAAAAAAAAAAAAAATTAAAAAAAAAAAAAAAAAAAAAAATTCCCTCCACATTCCCCCCCAGGTGGAACAGGGTTTTGTTTGTAGTGAATCTTTATTGCACAAAAAAAATCAAAATGATACCATCAAGCCTACTTGGACTTGGTTATATAGGTCAAACAAACACTTTGACACCTGTAGTGAGTGCAAAGTTTGTTCAGGAAAGGTGTAGCACTGAGGTCTGCTGAGTTTTCTACTTTAAAGTATAAATTTAGCAACCAGAAAAGAATTTGATCATGAAGCTCAGAAGCAAAAAAAAATGACTGTGAGCCCCGCTCATTGATGAAATTAAGGGGTGATGAGGGGAAAAGTTGGTGATGCCAAAAGCAGACAAAAGTCTGTTAGAGGCTATTTTTTTTCTTAATCAATCGGGCTAAAGTGTGATTGGAATAAGCTAAGAAGAGGCTTAAGTGTCTTCTTAGGATCAGGTAAAAATAGTAAGGACTGATGTTGAATTGTCTTAGTATCTAGTGATTGTTAAATAGTCTAGATACATGGTGCACGAGTTGGGGGATCAAACACTAGTGCATAATGAATAAGCAGTAACAACAATTCTTGACATTTTAAATAAAAGAGTGACATGTTAAAAAAGAAAGCAGAGAGAGAGATGTCAAGTGAAATTCCAACACTCATGTGTGAAAGTTGAGCATCTTTATGATGCACATCTTTGGTACCTTTAGAAGTTTAGTTTGTAAATGGCTGCACTACCTCTGTCCAATAAGAGAGGCCTTGTTGCAATACAAAAGAATTTCTCTGGTTCACAAATTCTGTCTCATTTTCCAAAGTATCAGTTTCCAACTGCAATACATGCTTCTTATAGCATGTCTCAATATCCAGCAAAACTATCTGATGAAAATAATGTGATGTTGAGAATATCAAGCAGAGATGGGTGTGTTATGATAAAATTAGCTAAATTTACATTTAACCTGCAACAAAGACTACAAATGCCATGTTGTTGCCCACATTCCCCCCTCAACACAAATCACAAATAACATTCATACAAGCAAGAATACAAACCAATGAATCAAGCCACTTGATTGTGGGTGCCATGATTGATAGCTAATGAGCCAAAAGAATACATATATAAGTAAAATAGGTGATTTAGATTAGTCCTTGTACTTAAACCAATATAAAGTGCAAAGAATATAAGTTTCCTGAGAATGAATTCAATTAATCATCCACTGAAAATAAACTTGGGAATTAATAAAGTTTGTTATTTTACATAGACAACAACTAATTCATCAAGGTTAATTGTACCCAATTGTCAATCCCCTCAGATATTTTTGCAAAACACCATATCTGTATCACAGTAATTGCCAATTGACCAATTTTAGTTCAATGGCAGTGATTGATATCTGCTATGATTACCCCTGCCCTCAAACAAATCAAATTTTATCCCAAGGTACTGCAATTAAATAAGAGCATTTGAAATATTTACATCTATGTACACATGAAATGGAAACAACACAAGTCACAACCCAGCCATCCAATGACCTTCATAATATACAACCCCTGGAAATAGCTTCCAATACTCCATAGAGATTGAGATGCATCCCATATGATGATATGCACCCACAATTGTTACAGGTTGATCCACATAGTGCATTAATGTTAGTTAGAAGCTTTGACTTTCAAAATTGAATAAGCACTTAAAATACCAGCTCCTCCAGTCACCGGAAGCATGAATTGATGCATATGGGTAACAGTATGCCATGCCCAATGATGATTGGTCCATGAATTTGGGCAAAGTTGAACCCCGGGGGAGGGGATTCAGAGTGGGAAAAAATTGTCTACCTACATGCTGTACAGCCTTAATTTGTGGTGTTCAAAATGACCCAAGTCAATTGCAATGTGTTTGCATATTAGGATTGTCAGATTGAATTCTATTTTGCTGAATAGGTCCCTGTAAAATTATCCTTTTGCAATCTTGAACACCTCCATATGCTTTACCCACACCTGATGGTGATTTTTCATTGGTTTCAAAGTGCCAAATCGTGACTTGTATGCTTGTTGGGAGTCATCAAAATTGGTTCTTTCGTTGTGACATGTTGACCCAAATTTTCTTTTTCGTTGGGGAAGATTAAAGGACATGTGAAGAGTGAGTGACCTTTGGGCAGTTTTTGCCTATGTAGGACGCTTTCCATGACGAAGGGTCTCGGCAAATATAATACGGGGGATTTTGGAAAACCCTCCCCACGGTGTATGTCATCAGCTTCGGAGTACCCCCGGTGGTTTAGAATTTCTGGACGATGTTCCTGCCAGCAGGATTGCTGTGTCGCGTTGGGCATCGATCGCGTTCTTTTACTGAATCGAGCCGGGCATCCAGAGTGGTAGCGTTAAGAGCATCATCAGCTTTCCTGTTCACCATGGCACCAGCCGCCGCTTCAAAGCCCGACAAACGACAGCGCTCGATCGCTCAAATGTTTGGAGCCAAAGATCCGACGTTGGCAGCGACGAGTAAAAGTTCTTCACAGGGCGCTTCTTCCTCCACCACGTGAGCCCTTTGCTAGATTCTTGCTTATGGCTCTAGAGTGGAATTGGACATGGGCACTGAGTACATAAATTGATGTCCATCTCCGTTCTCCCAATTAATTAGCTCATCGTCCAGGATCACGGCGCCTGCTCCAAAGGCCAAGAACAAGGCTTCAAATGTCAAAACGCTCATGACGGCTGGACGTTTGGCCCGAGTTTCGTACCAAAAGCTGCAGCCGATCGATCCAGAGAGCTATCGAGATTCTCTATCTGCCGAGTTCAAAGAGCTTCTCGCGCTGGAACTCGATCCCGAACATGGCCTCGGTCCGACCTACTTACACGTTCTGCGCGCCCAACTTACTCAACAATACTTCCTCGATCTCAAGCGGTTTTTGATCGCCGAGGGACTCAATCAACCACGTAATGATATCTACCCGACTTCCAAAAACATTTACCATTGGAGTCGGGCCACCCCATTAGATCAGATCCGAGTAGTTATCATCGGCCAGGATCCTTATCACGGTCCTGGTCAAGCTCACGGCTTATCGTTTTCGGTTCCTAAGGGCATCCCAATCCCCGGCTCTCTAAGAAATGTGAGTGCTTGCCTATTTTTTTTTTTGAAAAAGTTGAAAAATATTTGAACATTAGCTGATAATGTGCCTCATAAATGCCCAGATTTATCAAGAATTGAAAAGTGAATATCCGGAGTTCAAGGCACCTGGGCACGGCACCCTCCGCTCTTGGGCTGAGTCTGGCGTCTTACTTCTCAACACGTCATTGACGGTCAAAAAAGGCGCAGCCGGCTCACACTCCAACAGAGGCTGGGAACAATTTACCGATGCGGTGGTTGACGCGATTGACTTGTATGGCGGACTGGGACTATTAAACAATCAAAAACCTTCGGAAGTAGATCAAATAGTCGAGCCTGCGTCCAAACGAATGAAACTAGATCATCCTCCTTCCACAGAAGCTAGCCCCCCTCAAGCCAAAGGTCCTGAGACAGGATCAGATTCGGATCCCAAAGCACCCTCACCGATTGCATATTCAACCCCGATGGCCTCCATTTCAGACCCAAAGCACACAACTTCTGCTCCCGAGCCAGAGAAAACAAACCTCAAACCTTCCACGGAAGATCTGAATACCCTGGCTTCAGTTGACAAAAAGTCGGAGGAATCACAGCCCGCGCGCCCGGACACGAACTCAGCCGAATCGGGATCCAAGGCGAAGCCCCCAGAAGTTGCAGGGGCAGATGTTGAGCCACCATCAACGAAATTGACTGAGGAGCCAAAACCTCAAGACCTACCAGGATTTGGCAAAGGCGTTGTCTTCCTGTGTTGGGGGAAATGGGCCGCTGATCGAGTGGCACGTTTATCTGAGGTCAGCACAAGTCCGCTTCCTCCCTTGTTTTATGACGAAGTGTACAGAAAGAGTGTAATTGACATGTTGCCCTCGATTATTATCGGGTTAAAAAATTTGTGAACAAATCTAGTCAAAACATTTGATTCTTAAATCAGCCCATCCCTCACCTCTTTCAGCCCATCGAGGATTCTTGGGAAACAAGCACTTCAAATTAGCCAATGAATGGCTCGAGAACAAATATGGCGAGTCGGCTAAAATCAACTGGTGTGATTTGAAGCCCTAAACAGCTTGTTGATAATAAATACCAGAGCCCTTCCACCATGCATGTACTTCACTGCCGAATTCCTTAACTTATCGTTTCGCAATTTTAGTAAGATCGCCCAACAGTTCCTTCGTAATTTTTCCACATGATCCTGCTGCCGGAAAACATTTCCGGTTACAATGAGAAACAAAGAGTTGCGGTTGGAATTGCAAGGTGTGTGTGCAAGTGTCTTGGGTGAGCCTAGAAATGTACACCACACCCAACAAACCAATCTGTATGAATGCTACAATCAGTCTAGAAGGGGTTCAGTCAGCCCTTTTCTGACTCCTCTTTCCATATTCACTGCTGGCGATGTGTTCAGGATTAAATTCCAGGCGCTTCACGAGGAACCTAAATTCCAAATGTTGAGAAATACAAATATCATGTCACTTGTGCCATTATGTGAGGAACGAATCATCTGCAATAAAGGAGTTGATCTAGAAGTGAGTATGGTTGAGCCAAAAGACTTGCACAAGCCACATCAACAATTGATCAGGGGCAAGCCCCTTGATGAGACAGAAAAACTTTAGGGCCCTTTCCATAGAGATGCTTTGTCAAGCTCACCTGTTGCAATTTTCAGGCATGGCAGTCCTCATGCATGGGCTTTGTACCTTTTTTGTAAGGGACTTAGTTAAACGACTCCCAGAAATTGGAGTTCCGACTCCCAAATTTCTGGGACGTCGCAAGGACCGTCTGCGGACGGTCTTCAGGACGTCCAACCCCGAAATTGGGAGTCGGAACTCCAAAACCTTCAAAAGGTTTGGGAGTCGTTCCCCCCCAAAAAAAATGAAAAAAATAATAAAATAATAATAAAATAATAAAATAATGGACAGAACTCATGGCTGAGAGGAATCCTCTCGGCCGCAGAGTGCTGTACGACT